CACACATAACAAGTAAGTAAGGATCAGGGAGTATGACACACATAACAAGTAAGTAAGGATCAGGGAGTATGACACACATAACAAGTAAGTAAGGATCAGGGAGTATGACACACATAACAAGTAAGTAAGGATCAGGGAGTATGACACACATAACAAGTAAGTAAGGATCAGGGAGTATGACACACATAACAAGTAAGTAAGGATCAGGGAGTATGACACACATAACAAGTAAGTAAGGATCAGGGAGTATGACACACATAACAAGTAAGTAAGGATCAGGGAGTATGACACACATAACAAGTAAGTAAGGATCAGGGAGTATGACACACATAACAAGTAAGTAAGGATCAGGGAGTATGACACACATAACAAGTAAGTAAGGATCAGGGAGTATGACACACATAACAAGTAAGTAAGGATCAGGGAGTATGACACACATAACAAGTAAGTAAGGATCAGGGAGTATGACACACATAACAAGTAAGTAAGGATCAGGGAGTATGACACACATAACAAGTAAGTAAGGATCAGGGAGTATGACACACATAACAAGTAAGTAAGGATCAGGGAGTATGACACACATAACAAGTAAGTAAGGATCAGGGAGTATGACACACATAACAAGTAAGTAAGGATCAGGGAGTATGACACACATAACAAGTAAGTAAGGATCAGGGAGTATGACACACATAACAAGTAAGTAAGGATCAGGGAGTATGACACACATAACAAGTAAGTAAGGATCAGGGAGTATGACACACATAACAAGTAAGTAAGGATCAGGGAGTATGACACACATAACAAGTAAGTAAGGATCAGGGAGTATGACACACATAACAAGTAAGTAAGGATCAGGGAGTATGACACACATAACAAGTAAGTAAGGATCAGGGAGTATGACACACATAACAAGTAAGTAAGGATCAGGGAGTATGACACACATAACAAGTAAGTAAGGATCAGGGAGTATGACACACATAACAAGTAAGTAAGGATCAGGGAGTATGACACACATAACAAGTAAGTAAGGATCAGGGAGTATGACACACATAACAAGTAAGTAAGGATCAGGGAGAATGACACACATAACAAGTAAGTAAGGATCAGGGAGTATGACACACATAACAAGTAAGTAAGGATCAGGGAGTATGACACACATAACAAGTAAGTAAGGATCAGGGAGTATGACACACATAACAAGTAAGTAAGGATCAGGGAGTATGACACACATAACAAGTAAGTAAGGATCAGGGAGTATGACACACATAACAAGTAAGTAAGGATCAGGGAGTATGACACACATAACAAGTAAGTAAGGATCAGGGAGTATGACACACATAACAAGTAAGTAAGGATCAGGGAGTATGACACACATAACAAGTAAGTAAGGATCAGGGAGTATGACACACATAACAAGTAAGTAAGGATCAGGGAGTATGACACACATAACAAGTAAGTAAGGATCAGGGAGTATGACACACATAACAAGTAAGTAAGGATCAGGGAGTATGACACACATAACAAGTAAGTAAAGATCAGGGAGTATGACACACATAACTAAGTAAGTAAGGATCAGGGAGTATGACACACATAACAAGTAAGTAAGGATCAGGGAGAATGACACACATAACTCCGGCATGCGCAGGGATTATATTTCAATTTTTACCGCAACGCACGGAAAAATTGATTATTCTTACCCGGAGGTGTTTATAATGAAATCATACTACAATACTTAGGGAAACAGCTTAATGAGGGTATCAAAGTTGGTCTCCCAGCATTTTCTTGTGATTTAAAACCACTAATTAACTCTATAACTCCACTTTTGACCTATTTGGCGGCCATTTATTAATTCCATAATTGCACCGGTATTTGGTAGATTTTTTTCCAGGGGGTGCGATTACAAAACTAATTGCACTGTTTTGAGAGTGACCGAAATCTTATTAGGTACGATTACTAAACTAATTGCAATGCATATTCCCTGAAAGATGCTGTAAATCATGCCTCAGGCAGATGCTTAGACTAAGAGAGCACCTCGTAAAATGAGGACCCAACTCAAACCGAGTATTTTACTACTGTGAGGTGCTGATTCAAGTATTGACTTGAATCAACTACCTGAGGTAGTTTAGCGACCGTTAGTGCAATGGTCGCTAAAACTAAATTTTCGGGCATAAATTTAAATTTATAGTTTAGGACAACATCTTTCCTTGTGTTTGGAATAAGTCAAGCCTTACATTGCATTAACGCAACACAGTATGAGGCAGGGCAGATTTCTCACGGTGTCGGGGGCTAATCTCCTTATCAGTGTGTCACGTGACAATTATTCCTCGAAACCAGTAATACGGGGTGTCACGTGATAGTAATTCGTCGAAATGGTAGGTCCACGTGACCTCTGCGTACGAGTCACCAGAACGAATCATCTTCAAGCATACACGGCGTGTGCCAACGTATTTAGTGCTCTGAGACCCTGAGGCGTTGTGCGACCCGCTGTTCAGCTGTTGTCTCTTTATTTTGAAAGTTGATTGTTTGCTGCCGTGTTTGGTGTAGTTCACTAGTTTAGTAGATCCACAATGTTGCTAGGCTTTGATTTTACATTTTAATATTATAATTCACCGTCTTTTGCCACTTCTTAATTTTAATTTTATCTCATGCATCTATTTTATATTCGAACCATTTTTTTTTTTTTTTTTTTTTTTAAATTTTTTTTTAATTAAAAAAAAAAAAACCATTACCTTCTTATTTATAGTTCTTCGGCCTTTTTTATATTTATCAGATTTTACGAGCCTTTTTTTAAGAGATAAGGTTTTTGGGAGATAAGGCACTTCTGAAATTGTCACCGAGGATTAGTCGAGATTTGGTGCTCTTCTTGATTTATTAGTTTTCTATCGTTACGAGAGCGTTTTATTTAGTACAATTCACCAAGTCTAAGACTTGTTTAAATACAGACTCCATCAGCCTTCTACCTTTCTTGTTTATAAACAGACTGAGCCATCACATCGGGAATTACAGCTCACTGGAGTTCACTGTCAGCGCTTCGTACAGCCACTATAACCGTCGCGAGTTACAGACTTCTCATCTCCTCGTTTATCGGGAGTTTAAATATTAAGATCGTATCTTGTTTTAGACAGGTACACCTGCACCCGTAGCTTGTTTCAGACAGTCACCTTTATTTGTTAACTCCTCGTTTATCAAGAGCAGCCAGTAGGTTTTAGACCTTGTTTGATACAGGTTCATTTTAGCTCTAGTAGTAGTACTAGTAGTGTTATTTCCTCGTTCATCGGGAGTTGTCACTAATTTATCAGCGCATATCTCGATTCTCGTTTCAAACAGATACATCGTTCCTTACTCCTCGTTTATCGGGAGCCGCGTACGTAAATTGTTAGAAGTAGTTTGTTTGCAACAACTACTTACTACAGTCGCCCTAGGCTTTGGCCAGTCAAGCTCCGGTTGCCGTATTATAGCCGTTTTCCAATTTTACACCAGTTGGGTGGTACAATAACATTTGATAGTTGCATGGAAATGTATTTTAATGCAATTGCATTTGATTGGCATTGTATTATACACATCATGAAACGGATCGTTTGCCCGCCAATTCAATAGCTTTCAATAGGGGGTCGTTCACATATTACGTAATCAGCCGATGGGGGGGGGGGGGGGGGGGGGGGGGGGGGGGGGGTTTCAAAATGATTGCTCTACTGCAATTTCGACACAATAGCTATGTGTAAAACTTATTACGGAGAGGGGTAACAATGTTCCAAAAAATGAATTCGTAATATGTGAACGACCCGTAATATGTGAACGATCCATAGTTTGAAATAATGATACATTTTGATATTTTAATTGCAAGTGTGCCATATCCTAAGTCATAACGTCAATGTAATAATATTATGTAATTGAATTCTAGTATTTGCTAGCTTGTTTTAAATTTTAAGTTAATCGTCATACTCACAGGATGTCTAATAGAAATGTCAGAAGATTCAAGCAACAAATACCGGACGAGGATGAACTCGAAGATAAAAACATTTATCGGAGACAATGCCGTGATACACAATATTACAATTAATTTTAATTGAATTGTGGTATTACGGCATTGTTTCCTAGTAATTATATTTTATTAATTTTAAATCCAATTGTTGTTAAGATATTTGAAACTGATTTAAAATTGTTTATGCAAACGTTTTTAGATATATGAAACATTAATCTACTTTTGAAACTTGTTTATATAATGACTGTTTCATTTGTTTGTAATCAAAATATCAGCTGCTCAGCCTTTCAAAACAGTGCGATTAGTTTTAATCGCAATCGCATTGTTTTGAGAGCAACTTATAACAACAAAGTTATATAAATCAGAGGCGTGGAGTTATACGTGAATCTAACTGCATGTATAATACGATTACACCAGTTATTGCACTCGGCTGCGCCTCGTGAAATAACTGCAATAATCGAACTCGGCTTCGCCTCGTGCGATTATTGTATCAATTTCCACTCGGCTGCGCCTCGTGCAATTAATAGTGTAATCGCATTATACGCAGTTAGATTAGCGTATATAACACCATTACATTGGAAGTTTCACTTGCTACCGGTAAATATACTAGTGAATATAGGTACACTTGCTAAATATAAACCTACATTAATAATGACGATATGTGCTGCATCTGATAAAGTGGGTAAGCAACCCTCACTAAAATTATGTCTAAAATTGTGTCGTATTTTGAAATTGTGTAAGTGTGATGAGGTTCCCATACAGTAATTATTACTAATTATACAGTAATTATTACTAATTATACAGTAATTATTACTAATTACAGTAATTATTACTAATTACAATAATCATTACTAATTACAATAATTATTACTAATTATACAGTAATTATTACTAATTATACAGTAATTATTACTAATTATACAGTAATTATTACTAATTATACAGTAATTATTATTAATTATACAGTAATTATTACTAATTATACAGCAATTATTACTAATTATACAGTAATCATCACCTGAAGTACGCCCTGAAGCTCAATGTCAAGTATACATATTTGACCCTTATCACACACATTGGTAACAGCTAGTTTGCTTGTTCCATACAGATTACTACCAAACTCCGCATGCTCTAGAAACGCTCCATCTTCAATTAGCTGCTGCATCTGAGATATGAACTGAATGAGACACATATTAATATGTTCAATTAGCTGCTGCATCTGAGATATGAACTGAATGAGACACATATTAATATGTTCAATTAGCTGCTGCATCTGAGATATGAACTGAATGAGACACATATTAATATGTTCAATTAGCTGCTGCATCTGAGATATGAACTGAATGAGACACATATTAATATGTTCAATTAGCTGCTGCATCTGAGATATGAACTGAATGAGACACATATTAATATGTTCAATTAGCTGCTGCATCTGAGATATGAACTGAATGAGACACATATTAATATGTTCTGGGTGACAGTAACTAGGACACTTACGACTAACTATTTCAGAACGTTTTAATAGTTTCAACACTACTATATATTATAACTAGAAAACCCGTGGTCACAGGGAGGAAGCTAATAGTATTTTTTGTTAGTAACAGTGTTTAGTTGTTAATTATTGTAATATATCAGTAACAGGGTTTAGTTGTTACTTATTGTAATAGATCAGTAGCAGGGTTTAGTTGTTATTTATTGTAATAGATCAGTAGCAGGGTTTAGTTGTTACTTATTGTAATAGATCAGTAGCAGGGTTTAGTTGTAATTTATTGTAATAGATCAGTAGCAGGGTTTAGTTGTTACTTATTGTAATAGATCAGTAGCAGGGTTTAGTTGTTACTTATTGAATATATCAGATATGAACTGAATGAGACACATATTAATATGTTCAATTAGCTGCTGCATCTGAGATATGAACTGAATGAGACACATATTAATATGTTCAATTAGCTGCTGCATCTGAGATATGAACTGAATGAGACACATACCCCCCCCCCCCCCCAACATATTAATATGTTCTGGGTAACAGTAACTAGGAGACTTACGACTAACTATTTCAGAACGTTTTAATAGTTTTAACACTACTATATATTATAACTAGAAAACCCGTGGTCACAGGGAGGAAGCTAATAGTATTTTTTGTTAGTAACAGGGTTTAGTTGTTAATTATTGTAATATATCAGTAACAGCCAACAGGGTTTAGTTGTTACTTATTGTAATAGATCAGTAGCAGGGTTTAGTTGTTATTTATTGTAATAGATCAGTAGCAGGGTTTAGTTGTTACTTATTGTAATAGATCAGTAGCAGGGTTTAGTTGTAATTTATTGTAATAGATCAGTAGCAGGGTTTAGTTGTTACTTATTGAATATATCAGATATGAACTGAATGAGACACATATTAATATGTTCAATTAGCTGCTGCATCTGAGATATGAACTGAATGAGACACATATTAATATGTTCAATTAGCTGCTGCATCTGAGATATGAACTGAATGAGACACATACCCCCCCCCCCCCAACATATTAATATGTTCTGGGTAACAGTAACTAGGAGACTTACGACTAACTATTTCAGAACGTTTTAATAGTTTCAACACTACTATATATTATAACTAGAAAACCCGTGGTCACAGGGAGGAAGCTAATAGTATTTTTTGTTAGTAAGTTTAAATCGCGTAAAAAAATATCCTAAACAAACCGAAGATACAGCCGATTAAAATGTTGCTCGCACTAAACACAACGTAATATCAACAAAACCGATAAAAAATGCCGTTTTAACAATCTTTGCACGTGCACGTGCGTGTAACAACCCTCGTTACCATGGTTACTACGCAAGTTCATATTTTTCGTTTGTTTTGCACGTGGGCGGTCGTACAGACAAAAAGAATTCTCTGAATTATAGTAGAGATAACACTACTATTATATAACAAATAATTTGAGTAAATGGCATTCAACATGGCCGCTGGATTAGTGATGACGAAACTATAGTTAAAAGGCTGCGAAGAGGGTGACGAATTGGAATTTATTTATTGTTTTTTCTGAATCTGGTGTAGTATCATTGCTTCATTGGCTTTATTGAAATGATGAATGGCCCAAACATATTTCAGAACGGTGATAATAATTTAGTTCAGAAGACCAGCACTAAGGAGCTTATTGTAATAGATCAGTAACAGGGTTTAGTTGTTACTTATTGTAATATATCAGTAGCAGAGTTTAGTTGCTACTTATTGTAATAGATCAGTAGCAGGGTTTAGTTGTTACTTATTGTAATATATCAGTAGCAAATAAGCAATCAGTAGCAGGGTTTAGTTGCTACTTATTGTAATATATCAGTAGCAGGGTTTAATTGTTACTTATTGTAATATATCAGTAACAGGGTTTAGTTGTTACTTATTGTAATAGATCAGTAGCAGAGTTTAGTTGCTACTTATTGTAATAGATCAGTAGCAGAGTTTAGTTGTTACTTATTGTAATATATCAGTAGCAAATAAGCAATCAGTAGCAGGGTTTAGTTGCTACTTATTGTAATATATCAGTAGCAGGGTTTAATTGTTACTTATTGTAATATATCAGTAACAGGGTTAAGTTGTTAATTATTGTAATAGATCAGTAGCAGGGTACAGTTGTTACTTATTGTAATAGATCAGTAGCAGGGTACAGTTGTTACTTATTGTAATAGATCAGTAGCAGGGTTTAGTTGTTACTTATTGTAATAGATCAGTAGCAGGGTTTAGTTGTTAGTTATTGTAATAGATCAGTAGCAGGGTTTAGTTGTTACTTATTGTAATAGATCAGTAACAGGGTTTAGTTGTTAATTATTGTAATATATCAGTAACAGGGTTTAGTTGTTACTTATTGTAATAGATCAGTGCAGTAGCAGGGTTTAGTTGTTACTTATTGTAATAGATCAGTAGCAGGGTTTAGTTGTTATTTATTGTAATAGATCAGTAGCAGGGTTTAGTTGTTACTTATTGTAATAGATCAGTAGCAGGGTTTAGTTGTAATTTATTGTAATAGATCAGTAGCAGGGTTTAGTTGTTACTTATTGAATATATCAGTAGCAGGGTTTAGTTGTTATTTATTTTAATAGATCAGTAGCAGGGTTCAGTTGTTACTTATTGTAATAGATCAGTAGCAGGGTTTAGTTGTTACTTAATACTTATTGTAATAGATCAGTAGCAGGGTTAAGTTGTTATTTGGGGGGGGGGGGGGGGGGGGGGGGGGGGGGGGTAGCCCAAAAAACCCAAAAAAAACCAATCCCAGTATGACCTTTTTCAGGGTAGGAGTTGGGTTTTTTTGGGTTTTTTACAAATTTTTCATTTAACTATTATATATATACGGAATCATGAAAGAATGTAGATGCATGTAATAGGTAAATGTCGAACTTAACACCAAATATACACATTCAAGAATGAAAACATGATATAGCAACAGTTTTTGAAGGAAATAAAATCATGTAGGAACCTAGCAAAATAATTATCAGTACAACATCACTGCTGTGGTTCATCACTACAACATCACAATAGATAAAATCGCTTACATGTCACTCGAAAGTAGTATTTTATTCACTGATGTGCTCAGAAGAAGTTGGCCAATCAGATATGATTTCAGCCATATGTAATGCTCACCTTGATGCACAAGGCAAATTGAGTTAGTAGGGACGCAACTCACTGATGACCCCAACCCTGACCGCAACCGGTACGAGAGGAATAAAGCCTTTCCTCTCACCTTCACGATCTCTGTTTCCGTTTTCCTTATCTTCCTCTTAACATGAATCCATGCTCTATCTCCAACTGAAAGAATCTTGCAGTTACCATCAGCTGCATGATCACATGTGATATTAAGTGATATCTTCGCTTGTTTATGGCCCTGGAATCGCTTAAATATTGACTGGGATGGCATTCGATCTCGCCCTCCATTGAGGCAAACCTCAACAGCCGTATCATGATGCAGAGCATCACCATACACAGTTACTATGTTCGCCCATTCATCTAATGAGTCAATATCCTCCACATCCTCTTCTTCGTCATCTGTTTCCGCTTCATCACTCTCTGTTACGTCAGAAGATGGTTGAAAGGCCTCTCCTTCAAAGCTACAGTGTTCTTGAAGGAGTTCTCTACCCCTTGAGACTCCCTTCTTCATAGCTTGTTTTCAACCTTGAGATTGAAGTATCTTTACCTCTATATAGTTTATCTGCTTTCGGATGCGGTATAACAAGCTTGTTGCGAGAGTGGGCAACTGTTTCAGGGATCAAACTTTTGCCGAGTGCATCAAGCTCGAGGGAACGGTTTGATTTGCCCATGCCAACCAACACATCCTTAGAACACAGATTAGTTTTAATGCCAGCATGGAGGCCTATGCGCAGGAAAGCATAAAGTTGCTCGAAGGCATCGGATGTAAACAGCCAGGGTATAAAGTGTTGGTCACTGTTGTCAGCTGTTACACTGAGGATGTACAGCATCAGATTCTCGACTGCAATAATCGCATCATCAAACGTTTGACAAGTAGGCATGTGCTTTGACCTGCCCTTGAGCTTCGTCATAGCTTCTTTCCATGATAAGAGAACAGTTCTTACAACCGTCATGTTAAACACCCTATCCTCGGGGCACATAGACTTATCGTAAAAAGCGCACAGCATCAGGTAGATTAGTTCCAACCAAAGACCTGTACCATGAAAACCCTGATCATAAAAACTTTCATAGTGAAATACTATGTCAGAAACGGCACTGGGATCTTGTTTATCAGTTAGCAGTATTGCACTCTTAGGGACCTTTTCTTGAAAAAGTTGGTTCTTCTTAAATATTTCAAAAATAAGGTCCCATCGCACAACATACTTATAGCGCTCCTCAAATATGACCTTTGATGGGTCACAAAAGAGCACTAACCTGGTAGTCAGGCATTTCATATTATTTCGCATCTTCTTTATTGCATGGGGAACGTCCTGCATCGGCAACTGCTTTAATTTAATTCCTAGTCCATAAACAAAGGGAAACTCTATCAGAGTTCCTTTACTGAGCCAATCCAGTATTGTTGACATTAGTTCGTTTGTGCTGTAACCGCTGAAGCTTTCTCAGCCGAGAGTCACCATCACCCACGACTCACGAGGCTCGATATTTTGACCCCGACACCGGCAGCTAGGGAGGTTACTGTATCGTGGATTGTTTGCAGCTCCTCACTTCCCATCTTGGTTCCAACTGGGTACGTACCGAGGCAATTATTAAAAGACCGTATACACAGCGGAACTAGGATAAGCGACGAAACTTGTGTAGCAGATGTAAGAAGTCCCGTTCGCTGAAGATCAGGGACTGATTCTAACCCGTTGATTACCTTTCCCTGTAGAACGAGGGTGTCCTCACTGTCTGCTTGTCTTTCCAGATTAATCTCGGTTTCCTCGTTTATCAAGTGATCTTTCGACACTCCCAGTCTCCACGTAGTTTAACCAGTGAGGGGCCATTGCTTTTATCATCTTTGCACTTTTTGCACCGCAACACATCGATGTTGCCACATTTGGCACATTTCCACTTACTTCGTGCATTCATATGGATTATATCTCGATGAACTAGACATCCTGTTTGCTATCGTGATAACATACTATTGATATAAACACACTTATATAAACTATCTATTAAGTTAAGACATGAGAACAACACGTAGGTAAGACTCAGTGGGAAATAATTCACATTCAATACAACAAATGAAATGGCTAGAATTTTGTTTAAATTTTGTTTAAAAAACCCAAAAAAACCCTAAAAAACCCAATCCCAGTATTACCTTTTCTTGGGTAGGAGTTGGGTTTTTTTGGGCTACACCCCCCCCCCCCCCTTATTTATTGTAATAGATCAGTAGCAGGGTTTAGTTGTTACCTATTGCAACATCCTGTGCAACTCATTTACACCTCAACTATAGAAGGGAATAGTAGCACCTACCTTAGACCTCTGAGAGAAGTGATAATGTACAGTATAGGGAATAGTAGCACCTACCTTAGACCTCTGAGAGAAGTGATAATGTACCCCGTCTTGCTCTCCCTGTCGGGGAGACCGTGTGGTGTGAGACACCGAGAAACCAAACCTGCCAAATGTAATTATCAATTATAGGCCACAATCTTTTTGCATCCTAGTACAGAACTTTAAGGAAACATATTGCCTTCTTAGCCGATTTTGGTGATATAATTTTTTAATTTTTCATCTCTTCAAGCCTCAATATGAACAGTGAAACTCGATGCACGGTGGCTCACAGTGGGCCAGAATAGGGGGGCAGGCTATATTAGACATGTTAGTACCATCCAAATATGTCTGCAAGGTGTTCTATAGACTGCTTTGGCCCAAAAAAACGATCTAAACCAATTTCAAGACCCTACTTAACACAAAAACTGAGAAAATTGGGGAATTTTGAATTATGCTCCTTGAATTTTTAGCCCCAAAATTCCCAAAAATTCAAAATTCCTTACATAAGCCACAAAACCAGTTTTGAGATGCTTTACTTGTAGCTGAACGCTTACAGGACTTGTATTTAAAATTTCATCAAGGTTGAACAAAAGATGGCAGAGTTATTACAAAAATATGTATGCCCATATTTGGGCACAAGCCCCAAATAACATAGTTTTAGCCAATAAATTGGTAAAAAATCGGCATTTAAAAAAAATGCCCAAGGATGCCCACCACAATTTTTTTATATGTTGTAGGGAATCCTCTAAGCTTTCAAATGGTACCAAGGAATAGGCCGGCAAAGGCCGGCAATTTAACTATTTTTGGGCTGGAAGCGACTGAAGATGACCTTCAGTTATGCAAGCAATCCAAGCAGAAAATGCTACGTGCACACATTCTTGACAGTCATAAGTGTACCTCTACATTAACCGAAACTACTGACAAACTTATCTCTCTAACTCAAATTTTTTCGAGATCGTCCACTGATGCGATGACCGGCCTCCAGAACACTGTTAGTGAAGCACAGTCCCTTGTCCAGTCTCTACGTGACCATTCTGCTCACCCTCCTACTCAACCTACAACCACCCTCCCCGAAATACCTGCACCACCAACACCGGTCCAGACTGTGGAACAGCCCTTCTCCAAGCTCGAAACTGGTGACCAGCTGCAGAGGTTTGACTTTAAGAGATTGGACTCTGAATTAACCTATGATAAAGTTTTCTCGAATAGAAAGGTTGCATATTTTGGCGATGCTCCTTACAAGTATTTAGGAGGGTACCACAGGGCAAAGCAATTAGACCCTGAGACGTACCTTGCTGAAATACTTGTAGCAGTTGATGATGTGTGCAAGACCAACAACATCAACTATAAGGATTTCAATAGCTGCATGATCACCAAATATGAATCACACGTCTCGTGTATACCTCCTCATTCCGATGATGAATCGTGTATAGTACCCGACAGCACTATACTTACCATTTCCCTGGGGGGTAAAAGGGATTTAGTTTTTCGTAGACGTCCTCCAGGCGAGTATCGCGATGAAACCGTGACAGTTCAACACGGCGACTGTTACACTATGACGCGAAAATCGCAGGACCTTTTTGACCATGCTGTTCCTCCGCAAACTCAGGCGGATTTTGAAGGTCCTCGAATCAGCTTAACCTTTAGACAGTTGGCCTCGGCACATTCCAGAAAATCTAGCAGCCATCAGCTGCGACCTCTACCCCATCATAAAGTGAACCAGACCAAACGAGTGCTGATACTGTCTGACAGCAAAAACTGTAATTTTGACTGTTCTCAATTTCGTTCACCTGTCATAGCGTTCCGGGAAAACTTATTTTTCCTCCGCGACTTAAAGGAACACCGGGAATCGATTCAACAAGCCGACATTGTACTCATAAGTGCTGGCATAAACGATATCCAGAAAAACAGAGCGAGTGCCGTCCTGCTGCATAATCACATCAGAAGTTTCATAGAACAGTTCCCGCGCACTATGTTCTTATTCGATGCAGTCAGTCCACTATCGATACATGCTGACCGATTCAACACCCACAACGACATTATCCAGTACCTTAATGAACTCATGTTTAAGTGCTCCCTTCACCATGACAACTTCAGACTCTTCGACAACTCAAGTTTTAGTCTCGCTCACCTCGCTCGTGACGGTCTACATCTTAACTATATTGGACAGAGTGTATTATCAGATTGCTGGGTAAACTGTGTGCTCATTGGACTGGGGTTCAGGCGTGGACCCCTACCTCTACGTGAGCACTTTAAACGTATGATATCTTATCCAATCCCTGGCCACTTTGGCACCTGAGCACGACGTATTTTATATCTTAATGTAAAATTATCATGACAAAAATATCGAATCCTGAACAACTTTCCAGACTCGCGCTGAGTCGCAAACAATTTCACTAATCAAACAAACGTAACTTATTTGAACAAACTCTTACCATATTTTTAAAATTTTCCGTCATTTCAAATCAAAATTAGAAACTTAAATCAAATTCAAACTCAAGCACAAAGCACATAATACAACCAACTACTTAAACGAACTTTTCCCTTATCCAGATTCCCTACCTTCTCACCTTATCTATCACACCTTATCAGCAAAACGCGAAATAAACCCTGCTTGATAATAGTCCACGTCCCTACATCATAACAATCATTTCATATTATCTAATTCCTAACCTCATGCCGTACTCAGACAACGACGACGCAATATTTACACGATATCTACACAGATATTTACACAGTACTCATTATACATACATCACACATTACTGTACATTTGACTCTGTACATTTGACTGATCTGTACATTTGACTCTGTACATTTGACTCTGAACATTCGACACATACATTACTGTACATGGAAATTAGGCTCATGCACGGTGAGCTGCTGCCATCAAGTAATAGAAGAGAAGTTAAAGGTCAATCATAAAGGTAAAGGTGAAGTTTACTTAATTACTGTAGATAAGTCACGGTACTTTCTACACACAGGACTGAAAGTCTTCGTTAGAAGTATCTGACTAGGTCACGTTATTGTTATCATATTTTGTATAAATAGTAAGTCTATACTCTCTTAAATATATCATAATATAACTATAATACTAACGAATATAATACATTATCTCATAGTTCTATGAACGAATCTCAGCGTTGCAACAAATGTAATACACGTATTCCTAAAGCACGTTCGTTCCTAATTTGCAGTCACTGCGACAAAATAAAACATATGAAATGCATGAAGTTATCTAAGTCTGAGGCAAAAATAATTGTAGATTCTGGCTCTGCCTGGATATGTTATGACTGTATCTCCAGCGCCTTACCAGTAAATGCATGCCCCTCGGCAAAGCCACCGAGACAAGGGCCCGTCATAGGTCCTAAATTTAAAGTTCAATGCACATGCTGTAATGGCTGGATTTACTCCCCCGCCAACCTGAAAACCTGCCACTGGTGCGAATCTAAAGTACATACCAAATGTCACTCCGACTTATTAGGATGCAGAAATTGCTGTGAAAATATGATCCCGGGATACTATGTACATTGCTATCAGCTATACTCATTACATACACATACTCACACCGGCGTAATCCACAATCCCTACGATCGCTATCAGTTGATTAACGAAATAGGAAATACAATTGACCAAGATCAGGAACTCGAATATTGGAATGAGATTTCTGATATTTTAGTTAGCTGCAATTACATGGAGCCGACAAATGTAAGTTCGTCAGGACCATGTGATCTTAAGATATTTACCTTAAACATACGGGGACTTCTTAAAAACGTAGACAAATTAAGAGAAGATATATTCACGTACTCGAAGTATGATGTCCTTTGTTTTAACGAGACTAATCTCTTGCAGGATAAGCTTCCTAATGGTATTAATGACCTAGTGCTTGAGGGATTTTATGAACCACTGTTACGAGATCCAATACGTAGTTCTGGTCGTGGTGGGGGTTTAGCAATTTATATCAATACGCGCGTATGCGAGTCTGAAAATATTGAAAAATTCTTTCCCCAAAACTTTGATGTGACAGACAAGAGTGGTGAATTCATGTTGGTAAAACTCCATAACTGCAAAGGCTTTAACAAAACAAAGATAATCGTCAATATATATCGGTCACCAGCATCAAAAAATCCTGATAATTTTAACAAACTCATAGACTCCCTATTACACGGCATGGAAAGGCACTCGAGAAAACATACTATATTAGTCGGTGATTTCAATGTAGATCTTACACATTATGATACTGACAAACATTGTCAAAATTTGATTGAAACTATGACTAAATACGGTTTCTTTCAGCTAGTCTCACGTCCCACACGTATCACTGATCACAGTGCCACTCTTATAGATCATGTTTACAGCAATAACGTACAACACACACACAGCTGCAATGTTATTACTGTTGACCTGTCTGATCATCTAGCCACTCTTGTTACTATCTCACTTGGGCAATACAGCCACATTGCAGGGAGTAGAAACAAACGACACAGAGTCGACCATGGAATGAATATTGAAAAACGTATGTTTAACGAGTCGAACAACCTTAAATTTATAGAATTAATTGGATCCGAAATGTGGGAGGAAGTCACACGTGAAAATTGTGCTGATGAACAATATAACAAATTTATTGAAATATACGGTCAGCATTATGATGAGGCATACCCAGTGAAAACCAATCATGTGCGCCGCAAATTTGAAAGGCAGGACCCCAAACCTTTTATGCTACCCTGGCTTGAAATTGCATGTGCTCGTAAAAACAAATTATTCCATGCCAAAATAGTGGACCCAACGGAGGAAAACTACAAGGCTTACAAAAAGCATAAGGCATTCTGCGACAAGCACGTCAATAAGGCAAAAGACAAATACTACAAAACACAATTTGATAAGTATAAAGATTGTTCAAAGAAACAATGGCAGCTGATCAACACTCTACTTGGCAGAAAATCTAAATCTCATAACAAAATTAAACTCCAAAACGCCGACGGAAATATTATAAATAGTGACAGTGATGTAGCTGAGCACTTTAACTCTTACTTCTCCAACATTGCCACAAAAATCAAAGATGCGATCAGCGCGCGTACTGTATTCGATCCAGGGGGTTTTAAACATTACCTTAGCAGCCCAGCTTCGCAGTCTATGTTCGTAAGACCAACTACCGAAAGTGAAGTTGAACAAATTATTAGCAAGCTTAAGAATAAATCCACTCAAGACACTAAAATTGAACCCCTAAAAATTGTAAAAGACTGCCCCTCCTTCTGTAAAGTCTTGTCCATAATCATTAACACATCATTTAGTCAAGGTATCTTCCCATCATCTCTCAAAATAGCTAAAGTTATACCAATTCACAAAGGAGGCAGCAAATCCGACGCCACTAACTATCGACCCATATCTTTGCTGTGCACCTTTTCCAAATTGTATGAAAAACTTATGCATAATAGAGTAATGGACTTCCTTGACAAGAAAGGCTCGCTCTTTGAAGGGCAATATGGCTTCCGGCCAGGCCGATCCTGTGAGCATGCTCTTTTGGATGCTCAACACACGATTCTGAATTCCCTTGCCAAAAAGGAAGTTGCTCTATTACTCCTAGTCGACTTTAGTAAAGCTTTTGACGTTTTGTCTCATGATGTATTGATTGACAAACTCCAGCACTATGGAATCCGTGGGCAAGCTTTGCAATGGTTTAAATCCTACCTGAGCACACGTCAGCAATACGTATGTTTGAATGGTATTAAATCAGCTCTTAAACCTATTACATACGGAGTTCCACAGGGCAGTATTATGGGACCTTTGTTATTCCTAATCTACATCAATGATATGCCAAATATCAACAGTATGATAAAGTTTATACTCTACGCTGATGATGCGAACATCATAATAAAAGGCAAAAATGCAAACGATGTTATACAAAAATTCAACCAATTCTCCCACGAGTTTGTACGCTGGGTTGACTGTAATGGACTTGCACTTAATCTAAAAAAGACCTGCTATATGCTTTTCGGTGTTAGAAATACTGATAATACTCCAAATATTCATATTGCAGACACACAATTAGAACGTAAAAGGGAAGCACGGTTCCTTGGCGTTATAATGGATGATAAACTAACATGGTCTAAGCATATAGCAGCTGTTAGATCAAAAATGATGCGGTATGTAGGAATTATGTATAAAATAAAACGTCACCTATCGATTCAAATAAGGCTACAGATATATCAAAGTTTTGTTCAATCGCATTTAAACTTCTGTTCAATTGTATGGGGGTTTGCAGCAAAAAATCACATTGAATCACTCTTCTCACGACAAAAACAGGGTATCAGGGCAGTAATGCCAGGTCACATTAATTACTTTTACAAAGACGGTCGACTGCCAGAACACACAAAACAATTTTTCAATAACAATGGTATACTCACGGTGCACAGTGTTATTGTAAAAAACACACTAATTCTCATGCACCGAATCAAACATTTCCGCAGCTCAGTCCCTCAACAAATCTGTATGACTATCCCAGAAAATGCACCCACTGCAAACTCAGATCACGTGACTGCAGCATCCTGGTTAGCCGAGTACAACACCACACATTTCAGATCTTCGATGTTCTTCAAAGGACCTTTACTCTCAATTTATGCTGTAAATGCAAATGTAAGCACCCTACCCACACTTTTTTCCATAAACCTTTTTAAATCGGCTACAAAACGCATGCTCTTGAACCTGCAGAGTGAAAATGACGATGACACGTGGCCCAGTTTCTTATTACATAATATTCCAGGTCTAAGAAGGTCACAACGTGTCTGAAAGTTACTGGACACAACGGTCATTATATCAGTTTAGTGAATTAGTTAATTAGTTAATTAGTAAATCAGTTATTAGTCATATGGTTATTATTAAGTACTATATATTATATGATATTACAAAAATAAACTATGAATATATATTTACACACAAAAAAAACCAGAACAAACTGATCACAGACTAGCGGCAACTAATATTAATGGATAAGCCACACATCCTAAATTCCGGGTCCATATTTACACTGCCACATTCCCCACTATCACTATTTTCCTATCAGCACAAACCGTAATTAATTGATTTCAACAATCACAAACACTACATATCCAAACGAATGGCATAACATAGCAATATCTACGATATCCTAAATCAGTCCCTAACAAACTTAGCGCGAGTCTGAAAGGCTGTTGGAAGCACAGAGTGCTCCATATTTTGTTTTTATCAATAAACCTTTTTTTTTTTCATTTTCTTTTTTTTATAAATTTATTAACTGCGTGCAAATTTGTGTTTCAGATTTGATCTATTTATGATATATATTTATGATTATGTAAAAAAAAAAAAAGGCCAAAAATTTGCCTAAAAATGGGGCAAAAATTCAGGCTCATGTCAAAAATCAGCTATATTAGATAGCCTATTAAGGTTTTTTCCAATAAATGAAGGTTTGAGAGTTGTTTGAAGATATAAAAGGAGTCAATTTACTTTAAATAATCTTATTTAAGGAACAGACATAGAGTAAGAGCTATTTTTCACTGCCAAAAAGAAACAAAATCAATTTTTGAAAAATCGCAAATTTCGCGGCCGCGTAGCGGTTAAACCATATGGAATTTTTAATTTCGGTTTTTTGCATTCTGTAGGGGACCAGTTTTCCTATCAGATTATTTAAAATACATCCTAAACTAACAAACTCATTTTTGGACCTAATATAGCCTGGTGGCCCACTGTGTGGCTTTTGACCTGTTTCTGCACTTTCCGCATTTGGAATTTATTGGCTATCTGACTAATATCAATATGGACACTGAAAACGCGAATTTTGCCTCATTGGGAAATTTTCGAGAGCATGCAAAGTGTTTTCTAGACCAGGCTTTTACCTCAGGCTGGCTACGACACTGCCTATTATAACACACATAATGCCGGCACGCACAGGGATTATATTTCAATTTTTCCGGCGACGCGCAGGAAAATTTGATAATAATTTCGTAATGAAAATAAGTATGGTATCAGCTTTTTTGAAATAAATTTTACAGAATCGTAATCAGCTTGATAAGACGAATCTTTTAGTACCAAGTAGGTGCTTTTAGAAGAGAAATTGTCTTAAATAATTTTCTAGCTCCCTTGTATAAATTTGTTACTAATTTTTTTACAAATTTTGTGTCTTCAAGTATTATAAATTTGGTACTAAAAGATTCGTCTTACCAATCTGATTACGATTCTGTAAAAATTATTTCAGAAAAGCTGATACTTTTTGAGTAATAGGTATTTTAAGCCTTAAATCTGCCATTTTTGGCCTTTTTTACGATGAATTTTACTAAGTCGTTTGAGGCCACATTTCATAGCTTAAAACTCAAATCTGAGAGCCATCCTACTTCAAAAAGTTGTATATGATCATCAGCTACACTCACAAGAATTTTTGAAGCGATATCTGCTGACCCGGGTGATTGGTGAAATGTACAACTTTAGAAGTAGAAGTAAATTTCAATTTTTCTTATTTCGACCTTGTTTGGTCTGTAACTTCGTCATTTATTGTTCAATTATATAATCCTTTTAATGGCTTCTTGTACGGATTGTAAGTAATGTTCAGTAAAAAATCAGCCAAAAAACGTTTCGAATGATTGAAAGATCAGTATTACAGTGACAGACTTCTCAAAATTTCCAAAACTTTCGAAAAAGAAAATATTTATTTTTTCGAAAGTGAGTGCTCTCAAAAATAATTTTTAATGTATCAAATCTTATTGGTTTTATGTATAATTATACTTTCTTAATATGAAGTTAACAACAGGGCCACGGCATAAAAGCTTTTGGTGTATGTCCCCTTAAGGGGAGATACACCAAAAACGTTTTTGGTGTATCTCCCCTTAAGCGTGCCAGCGTTTTGTGTTATAAAGTTATAAACCCCTCCGGGTTAGAATAAGATTCTGATAATCCCGGCTCCCGCTAGATAAATTCTGATAATCCCGGCTCCTGCTGTTAGTTTTTTCCCGCTGAATAAATAACCCCGGCAACAACAACAAACAACAACAGATTATATTATTTTAGTTAGTATGGACATGAATGTTACGATTGCAGTCTATTTATTTATTACAATATAATATTATTATATTGTAATAAATAAACCGGTTTCAAAGCCCTTAAGGGTGGCCCTCGGGTCTTTAAAACAAAACAAAAGTAGAGATCGTTACAGTAATCTAAACATGACACGACTAGACTGTGAACGATGATCTTAATCTGTTTGGGACTTGATAGAAATCTGATTTTTCTGATATGACGTAATGTATGAAACATTTCTTCTTGAGATTTAGATGAGTAAGTACAAATTTTGTGTCCAAGTTTGATCCTACTTTAAATGGGTGTTTATTGATTTATTTTTAATTGAGCATTGTGTTTTACATTATAAGCTATATAGAACTTACAATTAGTAGGTTAGTGGTAATCTTGAAGTACCTTGTGTTACATTTAAAAACTCACCTTTCAGGGTAGGACTCAAACAGTTTGTTGAGAAGAGTACTCTTCCCACACCCAGAAGGTCCGGTGATCACAATGAGATATTTAGAGGGAGCACATGCTGCTGCACCCATTGTTTTTCTTGCTAACATTTCTTAGCTCTTGGTAAGAGGGACAGTTATTGTATAGAATACCAAACATACAGTCTTATGATCTATGGAAATATTTTGCTGCATAATACAATCCCAGAGTAAGTCCTCTGAATTGAATTGAAAAGTTCCTCCTGGCAAGCCAGGAAGGTGCGCCCCAAATAAGCATAGATGAAGGGGCCTCTGGGGGTCTCGGTCTGTGCAATCTAAAGAACTGTAAACTGGACTAGCGGGCTGGACAGCCTCAATAAAGGGGTGACCCAGGTTCAAGAAAACAACAAATTTCAAGAAAACAACAAATTTTTATTTAAATCAATTATAGCAACAATTTGAAAAACTTTAAAGTTCTTCTATTACCATGGAATATACTACGGGTATGGTGACTTGGGCTATTGAGTTGTTAAGTAGATTAAGATCAGGTTGTCAGATATTTGATAAATCCGCTCTGTGACGTCACTTAATTATTATCAAAACAAATTGAATAACATTCTGTTATCATGGGAAAAATGTTTAATGGAGCGCGCTAATTGATTATGTGCCTTTTGTAGGATGGGCACATGACTCGTGTAGTTGATGTTTAACTGTGGTCACTGGTCATGTGTCTGTGCGTGCGTGACCAGAGAATAAAAAAACCGAAGAACCACAACTTATTCTGCCTTTACTTAAGGAATATGCCACAGATGAGAGAGATATCCTTGAACTCCCTGTTCGATGTGGAGGCCTAGGTATCATCAATCCTGTCAGGATAGCATCTCGTGAATATACATACAGTGGCACTCACTAAAGATCTTGTGAGTTTAATCAACCAACAAGACCAGGGTATCACCAAGCTGGATATGGGCAAGATGAAAGAAAAGAAAGAAGAATTGAGGAAACAGAAAGAAGAGTTTCTATCCCAAAAGTTCAAGATGCTTTATAATTGTGTCAGATCATCTTCTTAAAAACCACGTAACCAAGCAAGAGAGAAGGGAGCTTCAACATGGCTTTCAGCATTACCTCTAAAGGACCTAAAAAATGTTCTAAACAAGCAAGAGTTCCAAGACAGCATACGCCTACGCTATGGTTGGAAGTTCCAATGAGTGCCCTCTAAATGTGCCTGCGGAAATGTGAACAGTGTCTAGCACGCCCTTGATTGTAAATTAGGTGGATACGTTTCCATGTGCCACAATGCCATATGAGACGCTGCAGCTTTCTTCCTTCAAGAAGCAAAGTGTAATGATGTAAGGATCTAGAACGTGCACTCCTGCCTGTCCAACAAACTTCATTCTCCAGGAAGACCAACACCCAGGATGAAGCCCGTCTTGATGTAGCAGCTGTTGGACTGTATGCACCATTTGAAAGAACATTATTTGACATCAGGGTAACTCATCCTAATTGTGACTCAAATACGTTTAAGCCACTGGATAAAATTTACAGTGCACATGAGAAAGAGAAGAAATATCTATTATATGAGTAGGGTGAGAATCCCTGCCACGTTTTTGGTCAGTTTCGCCGGGGCTCATGTCTTTCCTTGAGGGAGCATGAATGTCTACAGAAAAACTAACAAATCCTAGCGAAGTCCAATCCGAACCACATCTTCCATCAGAGGTTGTGCTGGGTCAGCTGGTTACTGAACGGATTGGCCTGGAGAAAGGCATAGTCCTGTTATTCTCAAGTTAACCATAGAGGGGGTCAGGCGCTGTTCGCTCACAGCTGGTTCTTGAAGCCAACACCCTCAGCCCCACAGAAGTGGGAGCACTGTCGGTGGTGGCTCACCCAGATAACGGACAGTGTCTCTCCTTCTTTCTTCTTGGAATTGCATTGGCTACCGATGAGTAATCCGTTGGAGTAAAGTCTGCCGGTGTCCTGGGTGTGATGGATCTGAGTTAGATGGCAGGTTGTGGAGGTGGTAATCGTTTCTTCCTAATGCCCTGGTAGTCTTGTACTACCAGGGCTCCTGCGGTCTGGTACGAGGTTAGTTTTATTGTTAGAGATCTAGTGATGTTTGAAATTTATTAACTCCTTTTAGCTACTTCTCCTTTAGATAAGTATTGCATTCTCTTTTTTCTGCTATACAGTTCTTTACAACACCTCTGTTCATTATAATTCAAATTTTTTTCACTCTGAACTATAAATCTCTGGCCTATTAACTGTTTCAGATCCAGATTGCTAGGGTTTACAACGGTGCCACTGAAACATCCTGCTGTTGATCTCTTATCCGGATCACCCAGTCTCCTCCCGATCCTCCCACACTTCACAACAAGATGCCAACACTGCCCGCCAACTTCCTCGCCTTACTGCAAAACTCATCTCTTGAAGTAAAGCAACACATGCATACCCTACTTACTCAGAGTATCCTGGACAGTCTGAAAGAGAAAAAGCTTGCTTCTAAAATAGAACGTATAGATGAAAAGAAGAAGGAAAAGAAAACGAAGAAGGAAACTACTGTTCAAAATGTCTCGTATAGCCCACATGCGCTCGTAGAGCACGTTCCAGTCCTCCCTGGAATGGATGAAAATCTATTCAAGAAAATCACAGAAGAATTAGATTTAATGAATCTTGAAGGCAAATCTAAAAAAGTCCACACCCTATGGCTAAGCCCTTCATCAGAAGACTACTGCTTTGGTAACATAGTTAACAAGCCACATCCCATCAACAACTTCCCTAGCATCTTTAAGTTGATGGGACTTATTAATGACCTCCCCTCCACCACCAACAACATGGATGCTTGCCTTGTTACTAGGTACGACACTCAGCAAGCTAAGTTAAGCCTCCATAAAGACGATGAAGACCTAATAATATCACAGTCCAGCTCCATTTGCACTTACTCAATAGGGGCTCCACGGTCACTTGAGTTTGTGCTCGATACAACCCAAGTAGAACAACGCACAACTAGGGCCTCTAGGTCAAGGTCAGCCCAAGAGTTGATTAACGCAGACTTCACCCTTCCTGCCACCAATGGCACACTGAACATCATGAAGCCTGGTGCACAGCAAGTCATGAGGCACAGGATTGCCCCAGGAGTTGCACCTTCTGACAATGAAATTTGTTGGAGGTATAGTCTCTCCTTCAGAAAGTTAACCACACCTTCCTCTTCCCCTTCATCTCCTATACATCCCTCTCCAAAACTGTTTTACCTTGATGTTTTTTGGGCTTTCTTAGACCGCTATGGATACAGAAACGAGAGATTATTTCCTAAATGTGACAATAGGGGCTTTTATGATATTCATCCCAGTCCCAAGGCTGGGATGCCAGTGTTGGCAAAGTTCTATCTCAGAATCATACACTCAAAGTGGTTTAATCCATTGGGATACTGATGTGGTAATTCAATTCAATATTTAAATTTTTCATTGTCTGCATCAGTATCCTATTGGATCTGATCATTTGGATGTTATTTATATGTATTCAAACGAAGTGATAGCATAATGTATGTTACTTCATATTATAGCACAATACCTAACAAAACACAACGGCGAGACACAATTCTGTTAATAATATACTTTAAAGTTCCATGGGAATATCGGCTCAACAACACCGTGTTGCAACTGGTATGTTTTCTAGGTATGTTATCATCAGGAAAAGTAATAGAGGTAACGGGGAAAATTTGTTGTCCTGTCTTCTGTCTCGTCATATGTTATGTGCTCTATTGGGTATATTTTATTTTTATGTTATTTTGTATATATTTTCTTTGACTATCGATGCTAATATACTCCCTGGTGCTCCCCTACAACCTAAAATACACTCTGTACCATGTTTGAGGTCATCCATAAATCTTTACTTTATGGTAATATTTTGTACCATTTTTCTCAGACACTTTAAACTTGTGTATAGGGGGGAGGGGGCATTGGGACAGCCTTAGCTGCAATTTCTGTAAAATTGCTATCTACCTCAAAAACCGAACTGTCACCTACCATGTCACCGAAACAGACTGTTAAGTTACTTTTCAATATAACCAGCAGCTGGCTTGGGGTCATGTCTAGGTGTGGTCTGGTTTTTCTATCTCTCCTTAATATTTCCCTGATAGTAATTTGTAATTGTTCCTTACTGAACCCTGGACCAAATTTATCCGTTGTTTACAATAATGTCCATGGTTTCCTAAATACACGCGATTTAGCATCAGGAACACCACCACTAAATATGACCAAGATACATGAATTCCATGGTTATATCTACAAACATAAGCCTCACATCATTATTCTAAACGAGACATGGCTGAAAAATTCCATTCTCAGTAATGAGGTGCTCCCTGACAAATACAAAGTATTTAGGCTTGACCGATCCTTAAGATCGCATCCAGTGGATGCAACCCAGCCCAAGAAATTCAGAAAAAACGGTGGTGGTGTTCTGATTGCCCATAGAACAGACATTGATATCTCGAGTCTAAAGTTCTCTAAAGTAAGTGTTCAAGCTGAATTATTATCCATCATAATTAAGACTCAGTGTGGAAGAAACTTTTGTATATCAACATTTTATAGAGTAGGAACGCTTGGATTAGAGAATTTTGAATCTTTCAAGAAACATTTTGTTACTTTAGCATCTGCCAGAAAATTGCAAAGGCACATTCTGGTAGGTGACTTTAATTTGGCTTCGATTTCCTGGCCAGATGGTCAGTCATCTTGCCAGCTACATTCTAGCTTTGTAAATTTTCTCACTGATGACCTCGGACATACACAACTTATTAGCTCCCCTACTCACAAGTCAGGCAACACCTTAGATCTTGTGTTCACTAACATTCAAAACCTTATTAAGAATGTTAAAGTTTTAGATCAAAACGAAATGTGTATGTCCGACCACTTTTGTATCACATTTGACATTGATATTAAGACCAAGTATATTAAGCAGCCTAAAAGAAAGATCTTCAATTATAGTAAAGGTAATTTTAGGGGCCTGAATTCTGAGTTATTTAGCATCGATTGGGATAGTATATTTGAGTGTAATGATCCTTATCTTGCCTGGAGTCGATTCAGAGGAGTTCTCGGTGCAGCCTGTGACCGATGGATCCCTAAAAAGACCATTAAGTCTCAGTTCC